AAAAATGGCCGCCTCCATGTCCACCGTTGCTACCTTGAGAGCCACCTTCCACCACCGCCACCTGAGTTCCTCCACACATGTCGCCTCCTTCCCCACCACCGTCTCCCTTCCCTCCACCACCACCAACGCCGTCACCGCCAAACCCATGTTCATTTCCTGCAACTCAGCCGCCGCCACTGCACCCGTCCAAGCCCCACCGCCGTCCTCCATTTCTTCAGACCGCGTCTTCAACTTCGCCGCCGGCCCCGCCACGCTTCCGGAGAACGTCCTCAAAAAGGCGCAGGCGGAGCTCGTCAACTGGCGCGGCTCCGGCATGTCGGTCATGGAGATGAGCCACCGCGGGAAGGAGTTCCTGTCCATCGTCCAGAAAGCCGAGTCAGATCTGCGGGATCTGCTCGGCATCCCCGACGATTACGCCGTCCTCTTCCTCCAGGGCGGCGCCACCACCCAATTCTCCGCCGTGCCGCTCAATCTCTGCTCCCCCGACGACGCCGCCGATTTCATTGTCACCGGATCGTGGGGAGACAAGGCTTACAAGGAAGCCGGCAAGTACTGCAAGCCGAATCTGATCTGGACCGGAAAATCGGAGAAATACACCCAGATCCCGAGCTTCGACGACCTGGAACAAAACCCTAACGCCAGGTATTTGCATATATGCGCCAACGAAACTATCCACGGCGTGGAATTCAAAAATTACCCATCGCCGAAGAACAATTCCGGCGTTCTAGTCGCAGATATGTCTTCCAATTTCTGTTCCAAGCCGGTCGACGTTTCCAAATTCGGAATCATCTACGCCGGAGCACAGAAGAACGTGGGTCCCTCCGGCGTCACCATTGTTATAATCCGGAAAGATCTGATCGGAAACGCAATCGAATCCACTCCGGTGATGCTGGATTACAAGATCCACGCGGACAACAATTCCCTGTACAACACTCCCCCATGCTACGGGATTTACATGTGCGGGTTAGTCTTTGAAGATCTACTGATTCAGGGAGGACTGGGGGAAGTGGAGAAGAAGAACAAGAAGAAAGCCGAGGTCCTGTACGAAGCCATCGATGGCAGCAATGGGTTCTACAGGTGTCCGGTGGAGAAGACAGTGAGGTCCTTAATGAACGTGCCGTTCACATTGGCAGAGACACCATTGGAGGCCGAGTTCATAAAGGAGGCTGCTGCGGAGAAGATGGTGCAGCTGAAGGGGCATAGATCAGTGGGAGGAATGAGAGCTTCAATTTACAATGCCATGCCATTGGCCGGAGTCGAAAAGCTGGTTGCATTCATGAAGGATTTCCAGGCAAGGCATGCTTGAGGCTTGACACTTTCCATTATTTGCCATTTTTGGGGTTTGATTTATGCTTTAAACATTTTTTTTTGTTTTCTCTTCCTATGGTTGATTCTAAGCATTGCATATGTTTTGATTATCTTCTCTTGTTGTTTTCCTTTTGAGTATAAAGAGCATTTCATCCTCCTCAATAATTAAGTAATTGGCTTGTGATTTTCACCATTGTTTTTTATGTTTTATGTACTTCTAATCTATATTAAAGAATCCTATTAATGCAATTATAGAACAAAATGATCAAGATTTTTTTTAATGTGATGATTCAATACAAGCATAATCTTTGAATAATATACTCCCTTAGTTCCTACGTAGTAAAAAATTACTCTGTATCACAGTTTGACATTTTTTGTCAACTTATGACACCTTTTGATCGTGAATTATAGAAAAGGTATATTTAGTTATATTGTAAATTTAGTAAATTTGGATTCATTTCAAAATATAGTCTTAAATATCAAAATTTTATAATATTTAATTATTTTAGAATATATTTAATTTGTGGTCAAAAGATGTCATGTGGTAATCTTTGAGGGACGCAAGAAGTAGTAAATTAGCAATCAAACTGGGTAAATTTCATCAATGGTACCTGAACTTTAGTTGGAATTTCGAAGTGGTACCTCAACTTCAAATCCTTTCACAAAAATCCCTGAACTTACACAATTCTTTCACTAATGGTCCATTAGCCCGTTTCTAGGTCAACTTCCAGTCATTTGGGCCAAATTAGAAGTTTATATATTTTAAAATTTTCAATTTGACCCCATTTCTTCTTTTCTTTTCTTCCGCGCCCCGCCGCCGTCGCCCGCCGGTCAAAGTCGCCGGAGCGTTTTCCGGCTAAATCCGGCGAAAATGACGCCGGTAATCCACTCCAATGTGTTCGTGGCATCACGGCGACCTCCAAGGACCCCTCAATTGCAAGATTTGATGACAATTTGCAAAACCCCCAATTTTGGACCAATTTTGAATTTTAGGGTTTTTTTTGGGTGAAAAAATTCAGATTCGAGGAGTTAAATGCCAAATTGGACAAAATGGTTTGGATATTCTTGATCCTCGTCTCAAGACGAAGAGAATGGCGTTGGTCTCGCCGGAATCGGACCAAGTTCATTTTCCGGCGACTTTGACCGGCGGGCGGCGGCGGCGGGGCGCGGAAGAAAAGATAAGAAGAAATGGGGTCAAATTGAAAATTTTAAAATATATAAAATTCTAATTTGGCCCAAATGACCGGAAGTTNAAAAATTCAGATTCGAGGAGTTAAATGCCAAATTGGACAAAATGGTTTGGATATTCTTGATCCTCGTCTCAAGACGAAGAGAATGGCGTTGGTCTCGCCGGAATCGGACCAAGTTCATTTTCCGGCGACTTTGACCGGCGGGCGGCGGCGGCGGGGCGCGGAAGAAAAGATAAGAAGAAATGGGGTCAAATTGAAAATTTTAAAATATATAAAATTCTAATTTGGCCCAAATGATCGGAAGTTGACCTAGAAACGGGCTAATGGACTATTAGTGAAAGGATTGTGTAAGTTCAGGGATTTTTGTGAAAGGATTTGAAGTTTAAGTACCACTTCGAAATTCCACCTAAAATTCAGGTATCATTGATGAAATTTACCCCAATCAAACTTCAAGAACTTTTTGAATACTACTCAGTAATACTCAAGCGAGTAATTGGGAATAGTTTGAGTTTAAGGCCGCTACACATGCTCTAAGGTGGGGACTGGGGTGAGTGGTGAGAGGGCTATAGCTCCCTTCACCCAAAATTAATATTTCTAATTTGACTTCACATAAAATTTAAGAAAATTAAAATTGTGACCCACAAAAAGCATTCCAAAAAATGAAAGAGAAAAATTAGAGGGCATGTCCATTGACATTCACACGAATTTAAAGGTGTACTTATAGGAAAATAATATTTGCACTCAAAATTTTGATATTGATACTTCAAAATGCACTATTCACCTCTCACATGAATATTGAATTTTAGAGTGTCAACAAAATGTAGAATATAAATATCAATTTCTAAAATTATATACGGAATAGTGGAATTTTATGTAGAGAAGAGATAAATAATACGTAGTACGAAGTATGTATTTGACTGAAGTTATTTTTAATACAATTAGTTGAGAAATGTAAAACAAAAAATTACGGAGTACATATTTAAATACTTTAAACGCTTAACGAAATACGGAGTAAAAGGTAACATGATTATATTATTTTATTGCATGAGTAACAAAATAAATGAAAAAAGTGAATAAAATTTAACTATGGGAATAGTTAACATGTAATTTAAATTGAGATAGAGAGACAATTTGGAGGTTAGTTTCATACAAGAACCAGACATGGCACCATAGAGTGTGATTCTAGTGTAAAAACGTCTTTTCACAAAATCATGAAATGAAATTAAAGACTCTAGTGTCATTCTAATAGTGTATACGATTATATGATCTTAGAGTTCTTATAAAGAAATTTTTAAGAATAACTTTTGGAGAAAAAATGTTGAAAGTAGACTAAGGTGATTCGTGCATATACTCGGGATGTGCAAAGGACATATAGTAAGGGCGTTAGGAACGGTGGGGGGGTGGATCAAGAAGACTAGAAGAGTTGGAATGAGATAGTTAGACAACACTTACGAATTCAAAATCTTAACGAAGATATAACGTAGATCCAAAACGAACAGAAGTTCGTAAAAATGAAAATATGAGAATACCCTAGATCCAAAAGCAACGCAGGCTCGTTAAAATAGAAATAGGAGAGAACCATAGAACCAAAATCAAACAGAAAATTTCTATGAATGATCCAATCAGAGATTAAGGGAGAAGAGATTAAAGAGGGATGAGATAAGGGGACAATAAAAAAAAATAGAACCACATACAAGGGATAAGGGAAAAATGAAGAAAGGGGAGTAGCAGTTTAGGAAAGAGTAAATACATAAGGGGCAGTTTAGGTGTTTCATCAATAAAAAGTTGCCTAAATAAGAAACAAGCAATTTATTTTGGAACAACCCGAAAAAGAAAAACAAGCAATATAAACAGATGAATAAATTGGGTTCCTCCTGTTCTATCATTCTATATCTCATGCAATTTTCTTTCTTTTGAATTTACAGTCTCAATTTGTTATATATGATTGAACAATTCAGCCACAGCATTAGACATTCTGGACAAAATGACCAAATTTGGCCAGCACAGTACTCCTAGACAGTGTGGGCATCACCTGTTCGCGGGTCATCTTGGGTAGGTGATCAAGAAAACGAGAATCTAGAGAATAGAGACAATCCTCCTGTTGCAGAAGTATCGCTTGCTGGGCTGGCTGGAATGCTAGTTGTAGAGCGATAAGCTTGCTGACATTTGAGCATCTGCAAAAGATCGTTCACGTGAGTTTTTCTAGCCTCTGGAGGCTATATTTGCTTCTCTTTATAATTTTAAAGAATCACTCAAGAGAACCAGGTAATCATGTTTAATGTCATAGCTTAAAATGGAAAAAATCATGTAGGTCTAGAATCATTCTCTCAGTGTTGGTTTGGATTGGATGGTTTTGGAACGCTAAATCTATATGGCTATATCTTGATAAATATATACCCAGGATCTTACAAAATTGAAGGAATATCACAACAACAACAAAAATTGAAGGAATGTCATAATAGGTAAACCATATACTTTGCATATCATTTCAATCGTTGGTCAATTTTAGCAGCATTCTCTCTATTGACAACAACCCAGTTGAATCCCACAAGAGTAGGGTGTGGGGAGGGTGTGTGTACGCAGACCTTACCCTACTCGAAAGTAGAGAGGCTGTTTCCAAAGATACCCCCGGCTCAACGAGCATTCTGTCTATTGACATATAGAGCAAGTCATCTAGAGTCTTCCCCTTCAAACCCCTCCATCCATATTTACCAAGTGTTATTCCATATCTTGCATTGACCATAAGAGCATTACATATTTCTTTGGAATCAAGGTTGATTGTATTAAATTAATATACAAAAGTATAGGGATTTAGTAAGCATAGTTTTATTAAACATTTTTGTATCTCATTCCAATCGGGTAGAGGCTCATTATTTATTTATAAAACATTGTAATCTGGAATAATCTTATGAAATGATCATGTTGGTGTAAACTGTCAGTTTAGTTTCAAATTAATGATAGCCATATTATTCAACATGTAGCATGGGAAGAAGATAAGATCAAATGTGCTAAGCAGAACTTTGAAAACGTAATCACATCAATTCATAGATTGGTAAAGAAGGAGATCACCTCATCGGGGCTGAACTGCAGGAGCATTGCAATCACAGGCAACAGAGCTTCCACTTCACCTGTTTAATAACAATATTCAAAATGATCATTGAACTTCAGAGAATACTCCAAATCATAGCATATGGTCCTTCTGCCATTGTTTGGTTCAATAGAGGGAAGGGAGGAAAAATGAGGGGAGGGGAGGACATGAAAATGGTGGTGGTTAAAAAAGTTGTGTTTGGTTCAATAGGGGGAGACTGGAGAGGAATAATCTGAATTTTTGGAAATTTGTAAAATTGTTGTAGACTATGGAGCATTTGCTACTCCCTACCTCCCACTATTTTTGTCTCTTTTTACTTTTTTTGTTTGTGCCACTATTTTTGTCTCATACCATATTTCATCATATTTGTGTGGTTCACATTCATTCTTTATATCACTTTTTCTTAATCTTGAAACATCATTATCAACTTCACAATCTTACTTTTCTTAATATCCGTGCCAATCCCTCGTGACGGAGGGAGCACTCTGTAGTTTTTTATTGTTAGTAAAGATATACTAATCTACATGTATAACCACAAAGCGAAAGAGATTAATAAAAATATACCCACCCACTCCTCCAGACCTCCACTTTCCTCCCCTCCAAAACCTTCCAACCAAACAAAGGCTAATGCACCATGAAGGAGTGGCCAAGGGGATGAAAGTCAACTATATCTGGAACATCTCACATCATACTGATATAATCCATAAAACATACCTGTCTCTAAAAGTTTCAAGATGACATTTTTTAGATAAGTCAAATCTACGCCTTCTCTCTTCTGTGTTCTATCCATGTTACGAAGCTCGTCTTTTAACATGGATACCTGCACTCATGTTACTCGTAGATTGAATGAACAGATACCACACAGAAACTTAAAATAAGACAACTAAGCTATTTCATAGCATATACCTGCTGACTGTGGAGACGATTTTCATGTTCAAGCTCCTCAATTTCTTCCTGAATGGTGGAAACCAGATATTCATGGAACAAACCATACCGAAGAAAGTCAAGAAACTTAGCTGAAGTGCCTTAGTAAGAAAATATATACCCATCAAACAGAGAACAACTAGATATACCTGAAGCGCAAGAATGTGACGCTGTGACTGAGCAAGTTCTTCCTCTCTTTGAGCTTGTTGCCTTGCCAACATCTAAAATTGATTATAGGATAAGCAAATGAAGTAGCTGAGAAGGAAATAGAAAAGTTGAGGGGTGGATGAAAAAAGAAGGGGATGGAAGAGATTAAAACTGTTATGTTCAGTTCGATTAAGGAGTGGGAGAAGCTAGCATATTGGGAAAATATGTAAAAATATTGTATATGATAGATTTTTAATTTTTATGTAATAAATTCAAAATATATGTAAAAATATTGTATTTAATGTATTTTGTTTTAATTTTAAAATAGGATAGACATGTATATCAACAATTAGGTAGAACTTTTTCTTTTAAAGTGACAAGAAATTAAGGAAAACCCCACTTTGGATGGGATGTGAGGGGGAGTCGATGAGGAATTTGGAGGATTTCATAGCTCCTTGACTTTGACCTCATTCCCCTAACTCCACCAACAGCTCCACCCCCACTCATCCACCTTCATCCTCTCCAAATTCCTTCATGGAAAGAATGCCAAGTTTTTATATGATTGCAAGAGATTTACAAGGACTAAAATGCCTTGTGCGTAAATGAGCCAGCTAATTTCATATTACTATTCATGGTGCAAAAAATGCTTAAATCACATGAACTGGCAAATTAGCATCCAAAAGAATTTAAAACATTTGCAAAAAGAAACAGATGCTTACTAGAATCTGATGTTCTGCAGCAGAGGTATTTGAATTAACAGCTTCTCGCTGCTCGTATGCTGCATTCCATTTCCAAAACAGAGTTAGAAGTTTTCACCCATTTAATTTACTACTTTTGCGTCTATATTAGTGTCTAACAAAGGGAATTCTTTTACCGGCATCATAGTTGCTACCGCGATCAGCCTAAGATTATCAAAAACACCATCAGAATTTGAAAATCTGAAACAAACTTTATCCAAATGGAAAAGGACAGTTCCTCCTAGACATAATTGATAGAGGTGGTTTATAGAAGCAAAACAGACATACTACTTGCTTTGAGTGAAGGGATTGGCGGAGATGCTTATTTTCATCTAGAAGTCTAGATATTTCATCATCTTTCTCCTCAATCATTTTATCAGCAAGGTCACGAAATGTATCATGTTCCTCCTGCAACACATCAATGAAATTAATCCACTAAACTTCCTAAGTCCCATCTGAAGTCTTGTCTAAAACACAAAATACCTTCAATTTTTTATGACGTGTTTTTAGGTCCTCGAGTTCTTTTTGCATGTTTTTACTTAAAGTAACCTCATTTTGTGCCTTCAGCGTTTCACATCTCACTGAAAAGTAAGTCTTTCCAATGTCAGGTCTCAAACCTACAGAAAAAGACAGCCAAAATCAAAACTTCATACGCACATCGCCAAGTTTCTTCCACATTTTGAAGGTTTATCTCCCATGTCTCCTTTTCCCTTTGATGGGCAGATAGAGCTGAATTGAGCTTTGATTCCATGCTCCTAATCTGTTGCTCTGCTGTGCTAAGAGCTGTATCTCTGAAAAACTCAATATTTAAGTTTGAAGAAAAAAAGAAAAAATCTCAGCTCCAACAAATTAAGAAGCTTCACTCAATATATATGCTTCCTACGACTTCTATCAGTTATTAAAGACTTCTAGTAGGGCTTTACAGTAATAAGGTTTAGGCCCGAGTGCTAATTTTAAAAAGTAGGAGAGAACCAAAAGCAGGAGGATTTATGTCCTTTGACTCCTTTCACGAATTTATTTACTGAAATGGAAGTGAAACAGCTATTCAGTTACTCCCCTTAAAGGTAACTGGGACACCTAATAGTGGGAGTATATGTATTTGTGTGTGTGTCTTACCCCTTACAGCCTCTCTAATTTCCAGATAGGGGTAAGGATTGCCTACACAGCCCCTCCCCAAACCCCACTCTGAGTGATTTTACTGGGTTTGGTGTTGTTGTGTCTCATGCCTTACACACACACGCAGACACCAGAAAAGTGTTCAGTCATGCTCACGAAAGAAGCCTAACTGAATACTTGAGACTTGTGAAAGTACACCAACATATCGAGACACATGACACCTCATTCCTATGAATACTGATTATTTCACAAGCCAGGATCACCTTTCAGAAAGTTCCTTCTGGTTATAAGCCAATGACTCCTTCAAATCTTGAAGAGCTTTGTCTCTTTCAGCAGATACCAACAACAGTTCTTTCTCAACATCCTAAAAGAGCAGATAATTGGCAAATAGCATTTACATCGATGTATAAGTTTCATTCTTAATTATGGTGATCAAACAATGCAAGTATTCAGAGTCAAGTACCTTCAGCGAGTCCTCCAGTGCTTGAACTTGTTCATTGTCTCGTGCAGCTGCGAGCTCAGCATCCTTTCTCTGAAGAAGAGCATGAGCACGAACCTTGTAAGATGTGAATTCGCTTTCAAGGCGGCCTATCTGCAAGTGATAAGGATGTACATGATTAAAAAGAAAAGTTGAAGCAGCAAGGAAATTACCAAGAACATATACTCATAAAGAAGAAAATTTTTATATTATTCTCTACATTACTCCAATGTCCTGATGTTTTTTTATTCTAACATACTATTCTATAAACTTCTGTGATAATTCCATTGAAGGGGAAAATGGAATAAAAGAAGATTTGATGAGAAAACAATAGCTACATACGTAGTATAATATATTAAATACTCCGGAGTCCAGGGTGTAAAATAAAAGTATGACTAGAGATAGCCATCAATGGAAAATTTATCCGTTTGATATTACTATCATTATCAGGTCCAATATACAACAACAAACCCCATAAATCCCAACTCCATTGGGGGATGGATACCATGTAAAAACAGAGAGGTTGTTTCCGTTAAACCCTTCATGGATTGCCGGCCGCATTTACTGCCTGCAACTTCATAGGAAGTAAGAAGCAAGGGAAGTTTGATGTGCCATTTTGATTTAGTTCATTATACACATGGGAGCTAAAACATTTTCAAAAGGACTCTTTTAGCTCGATTACAGATGGACACAATACCTAGAGATAGCCAACAATGAATATTTTTCCTTTTGATGAAATTATCAATGTCAGGTCCAACATGATTATCTGAAGATTTAATTTTACCTTCTCTTGCGCAGTTACTAATTCAGCATCTTTTAAATTCAGCAACTGAACTCGAGCAGATAATTCTGATTCTAGTTGACCTGAAAGGTGCACAAAGAAAGGAACAATAACCAACACATTTCGCACTCTAGAAATCACACATTTTAAAAGATAATTGGAAATACTTCTCATTTTGGTAGCTTCTATTTCAGAGCGTATGCAGTTACTCTCAGCAACCTCCAGCTTTGTTCTGAGTGATTGAGCAGTAACTTCCCAACTCTCCTTTTCTTTTGCCTGTTTGCACCAGATATAACGAAGAAATAAAGCTCACAATATTATTGCAGGAGTTAAAACTTCCACAACTCATTTAGGAATAGAGGAAAATTGTATTGAGTACCTCAGAAGCTTGTTATTTCTTGTTTTTTATTTAAAAAATATGTTTGACATTATTTTTAAGTGCAACTCTAACCAGTATCTTACTATCTAGAAAATATATTTCCAAAATGTCTTTTCGAGGAATGAAAAATAGAAACTTGGCTCTTGAAAATTCATTTCATTTGATGAACAGATTAAGTCAGTTCGATTTACATTACAAAAATGCATTGTAAATGCAAAATACTTTACATGAATTACTAGAAGAAGAGTACCTACCGCAATAGTTTAAGACATAAATTTAGGTACATAGTACATACAATTTCATTTCAGAAGGTTTGCAACTTTGAATTTCCTAATATGAGTATATGACAACCACACAGGATACATGCATTGTATCAGGCAAATGTCAGTTGTAGATTAATGAATCAACACTTATGCAAATTAAGTTGTCAGCAAGTTGACCCAAATGGGGATTAGAGGATGGTTTTTCAAGTCATACATGCTCACTTTTCAGATGGAGAAGCTCCCCTTTTACAGTTTCAATGGAGGCCCTTAGACGTGCTGCTTCACCACTTGAAGCTGCATCCATGTCTGCAATCTTAGATTCCTTCTCTGCTATTGCAGCCTAAAAAGGACAAGCAAAACCACCCATTAATACCATATAAAACATCACTAAAAGTAGATAATTGAAATATAGATGAAGCATTTGTTATTCTCATAGCATAATCATTTTAAGCAATTCAAAACAGTAACTACTAACTAGTGGGCTTCCCAGGTCCCAATGTTGGGGTAAACTAAATGGAACATAGTTGTTAAATGTTACCCTCAGACTAGAGATTGTTTCAGCTGCTTTGCTCCTTTCAGCTAATGCATCACTAATTTGGGCTTCCAAGTTCTCAATTTCCTGTTGTACAAGGAGAGAAATGTTGACTAGTGAAATTTGTACAGGAAACGAAACAGAGAATATTCAAGAGAAGAGTTCATTTAACTATCGAGAGTCAATTAAATTAGAGAGCCTAATATTGATGGCCCATAAGAAAGTGTACCTTCTGATGCTTTGAAGAGAGTTCAGCCAATGACACTTGCCTTTTCTCATCTGCTGCCTTTAGCAACCCCCTCATGTCTTCCAACATCTGAGATGTCACATAGAATGCATATCAAAGCCTGAAGGTCTTTTCAAAGGCCAAAAGGAAGACTAGAAGCCAATCACAATCAAATATTCATACACTTACATGCAGAAGAATCAACAAATCCCAAATTAAGATGAAGAAGAAACATATAATATAATAATATGTATGTGCATATCATTCTACCACCATAGTGGAACTGAACATATGCAAAGCTTTTGCAAAAAATGTGTTGGCCTATGATACATATAAGAACCCTTCTAAAGTAGGAAAGCAGAAAATGCTTATTCAAGTAACTTTTTTTGTTGTTAATATCTGAATGTGTCTTTTGAAATTTTTGAAGAATATCTGTTCAATCAAATTCTTCTACTTCTCAATTAAATCAACATACTTCCATAACATCTAATAGGATGCACAGAAAGAGAAAACATAGTCCTCAGATGATGCCTTGTGCATTGAAGTTGAGATCTAGCAGACAGGCTCTCTGCGCCATTGTACTAAGAAGTGCATGGTATGGGACAAAGATTGAAGAACTCAAGAAAAGAATAATGTTAACGGAAACAATCAAAAAGCATAAGACTAATAACTTTTGGGTTTGCTCTTTTACCTGATCTTTTTCTACTAGTGACTGTTGTAAACTCTCCACAGCATTTTCCTTAGGTGCCAAAGAGCGACGCAGTTCTTCAATATTATCTCGAAGCCTGTATGATAACAGCTTTAACATACCAGATAGAGACACATAAGGAGTGCAATTATAAATTTCATGAGTTTGTCATGTTCTTGGTTATGTTAGTAGTACTACATGAGCATGCTTACAAATTTCATCTTGGGTATTGTTACCTATAGTAAAAATTGAAAAGAAAGCTAAGGAATCTAGAAGAAGAATGTCTCTCTGCAAATTATTTAGACTTAAAATAGTATATATGTCTCCCTGCCCATAATTTAGACTTAAAATAGTGGATATGTCTCCCTACCGATAGTTTAGACTTTAAATTAGTAGATATATCTTATTTTATTTCTTTTGTATGTGTTTGGGGAGGGAGGGAGGGTGGGCATCTAGTAGAATATAGGTTGAATTTAAAACTTCTTAGTCAGGCAGCACAAATAATTGTGGTAAAAAGACAGAAAGTGAAGAGAAAAATAAAACACAGAGCACAATCTCCAATTCATTACTGTCTTTCATCTCTATAGCTTCATTCTTCATTTTGCTTGAAGTCTAAAGAACAATGATTCTACTTGACGTTGTAGCATTTAGAGCATCATTTCATCTCTTTCCAACAAACCTTTCAAATTTTGTTTTATCTTTCCTTGAGTGAACTATTAAAAATAACATTGACCTAAAAAATACAGTATAAAAGTTCAGATAAACACATGACATGTGAATTTACACCTACAAACATCAAAATCTCAAATACATCACATGTGCACTAGAGATAAAAAAGTTTATGAAAACTGAAGGCACACAGGCTACATATGTCCCCAGTCTACCCTCCTACCCACACATCCAACAAACTTATTACTAGTACTTCCCTCTAAGGCAATTCTTGTCTGAAGATACACACAAGCATCAGAGTGTGCAGTTGTCAGAACCACTCATAGGTGGACAGTGTTTCAAGAGTTAAGAGAAAGTACTTATTGTTTGCACTTCTTAATTGTTGCCTCTCCATATCCAATGCTTTAAGTGCATCCTGAGCTTGCTGTCTACTGCGCTCTAGTTCTAGCTGCAGTGCTGACAATTGTGAAGAAGCACTTTCAGCTTTCTCATTGACATCACGAAACTGAGCCTCGAGATCTTCTTTCTCCTAAAAAGACTCCCAAGAGAAAATAAACTTAAAACCATAGTAAGGTGACTATCTATACATGAGTATAAATTATAAAAAACTAATAAAATGTCTTCAAAACAGAGCACGGACATAGAGCAAGCATGCTTACAGTCCTAGACATCACCAATTTAAGAAGTCAAATTACTTGAAAAAGTAACAATCATGATTTTTTGTCTTGAACTCAAGGAAATAAAATTCGATCTGAAATTTTGAGCATTAGACTGCATCAATTTAAGCCAAATTGAACCCGCTGTAAAAACTGACCTTTTGGCATGTGGACATGGTGGTTTAGAAGAAATTTTAAGAGACAAGACATGTTATCACACGCTTTACCTTCTGAATATCTTGAATGCGCTGCTTAGCTCGCTTGTGAAGCCTGATGAACTTGGAGTCAAGCTCAGAATATTTCTCATCGCGGTCTTTCAGTTCTTTATCCATCTTCTGTTGGGCTATGCAGATCAAACCATTAATGACTTAAGATCAGAAACACCACATGCATCTCTCTGTATATATATGTGTGTGTATATATATATGTATATATATATATACATATACATATATATACACCCACGCAAACACACATTCAGTACGTCCCACAAACGTTTTCCCACATTCCTTTTTATCCATCCTAAAATAATTTTGCCTTTTTTCTTTCCCTTCTTAGAAAAGAATACGTGATAAAAAAATACTTCCCTCTCTTCTAAACAAATTCTAAGCACTCACTTTACAATATTCACGGTCTCACTTTTCTTAATCTCCGTGAAGTCAAAGTGAGCAGATTAATTTGGGACAGAAGGTGTGTGTGTGTGTGTCAAGTTGGCAATGCACTCAATTGGTCAGGAAAAACGTGTAATATCAAAGACACATGTGCAGCATGTAGGAAAAGTCTACAACCTTCAGTAAGTTTATTTGAAAGCTCTTGGACCTTCGTGTCAGCTTCTAAGTACACAGTTTGAAGGTGCTTCACAGCTTCCTCTGCGGCACTCCTGGTTTGTCTTTCCTCTAAAAGCTGTTTTTCCAGATGTTCCAACTTTTCATGAAACTCTCTGCCATTAGCATTTGAGCCATCATCATGCTTCATTATATAGTTTAATTGGCCCGGAGCAGAACTTACATTGGCGTCTTTCAACCCCGAAATTTGAGACTTCAAATAATCATTCTGGAAATTAAGATCTACAACCATTTGTATGAGATCATCGCTGCCATCACTTCTAAACTGGTCAATATTGTGCAAAGGATTCTCTTTAGCAAGACCTGATTCATCCTTATCAGTTATGTTACTGTGTTGATTCTGAAATCTCATATCATCCTCTATGTGATTCTCTGAATCAATGTGGTTATCACCCCCCTCTGTTGACATTGTGTGTGGATTTCTCCTGTAGAGAAGTATACTGCTTCACCCAGCAACTAACATAAAACCAAAAATGTCTATCAGACCATTTAACAGCATAGGTAATGACTTTTCCAAATCTTAATTCACCGGACAAAAGCACTGCAGAGAAAGTAAAAATAAATAAATAATTCAAACGTGTATAGAGGACTTAATGGCATCAAGATGAATTCAAACTTGTAGCAACCGAGCCAAATACAAAGCCAAACCAATCAAACCTCGTAAGCCCCACTCGGAAGTAAGGCGTGGAAGAGTGAGCTGTAGTAAGATCTTACCTCTAACCGATGATATATATATACACACACACACACATACATACGTACATACATATATATGCTGTTTTCTGTAAATACCCTAACTATGGAAGGTGCTGATAGCATTGGAATATGTTAATAATATGAGGGAAAACTTAGAACTCTTGAAAGAAAACAACAAAAGATGATAGTTAGTATGAAGTGTGTAACATAAATGTAAGCACCGAAAATGAAATCAATAAAAAGCATACAGGGTGTCAAAAGAACATTAACAATATCCGGGAGGCAAGTATGCACCTAAGCAAGTATATTGAGTCTCAAGTGCCATCTTCATGTCTCAATCAGTCAGTATAACCCTACTATATAGATAAAAAAGAAAACTGGAGTCCATAATTACTCAAGTCTCCATCGCCGACTTCATCTCTCTATATGCCAGCATTCAGTCCTACGGCTAAAGAGTCTGCAATGGCTAATGTAAATTATGTAATTACTTCATCTTTTTATTTTAACTTGTAATTCCTCTGAGTAGGTCAACAACCATATCTCTTTTCCTTATTTTTTTGCATCTTTCTCTTTCCCTCCGTCTCCATCTCTCCATCTTTATTGAATCTCTTTAAAATTACGTTTCTTACTCATATAGTTTGCATCTGTAGAAATTTGTTTTGTTCTATTTTTAAAATTAAAATTTTGTTTTTGAATTTATACTCTTTAAGGTTTGAGTAGTTGGAAAGTTAGATTTTGTCTTAAAATGTTAATCATAAATCATGATCATGTTTTGCCTGTCTATTTTGCCATCTTTTTTTGTTCTAAATGCGGAGTAACATATAAGTATGTTTTATGACTTCAATTTGACATGTTTACAAAGTAGGCATTTTTTGTCACCCATAGTATTTATTTTTATTTTTTTCACATAAAATCAAAGCTTACGCCTCATAGCAAAATGCTCAACGGCCTGGCCTTTCAAGACCTTGACTCCTTTAGTCAACTTACACAAAACACTCCCCTAACGAAAGGGTCAATAGAACCCCCAAACCCCCATCGGGTGTTGGTGTCACGCTCTATAAGAAGTTTGTTGCCCAAATTTGACATTTTCAAAAATTCCTATCAGAGGTCATGTTCTGGGAGGGGTCTAAGGCATCCATTTTACATTGCTCATCCTAAGTGGCTAAGTCCCCTGCTACATGCCTCTCTTCCTTACCTCTGAATCAAAACGCCTTCCACTAATCCACTCTCCTTGCTGTTGTTGCATCTCTCCGGCAAATGTGGTCAAACTAATAAAGCCTTCTCTCAAAATTTATCATAAATATGCATGATCCCTAACTCTTCCCGGAAGCCCTCATTCGGTATTATGCCCAACATAGTACGATCATATGTACACCACAACATCCTCATTTCTGCAACTCCCAACTTCCACTCATACACTCTCCTTATTGCTCAACACTCGAACTAATATACTCATATTAACTCATGAATAACTAACAAACACACCAATAATAATGACATCATGGAACAATCGCTTGCCATAGCCAATTTGTCATGGTCATTGCATGGCATTGTATTAATTGAGGTGCTGCCATGTTTGACTGACTTATTTTGGAGCCCTTCAACATAGCAGAGTAGATGATGGACCATGCATTGGATATATAAGCTGGCTTTTATGAATAAATGAGTGGGAGAAAATAACATTGTTCCAAGAAAAATCAACAAACAAGCAGGCACTCTCTCCATCCCCAAGAGATGTTTACACTTTCCCTTCGTAATTTTTAGACAAGATAATTTGTTGTGATGATTTCCAAATATGCCTCTAAGTTAAAGATTTGTTGGGGAAGTGACAAGTTAATAGTAATAAGTAGTAACTTCTTTAGAGATAGCGTTGTCTTTTCCCACCTATAATTTTACTTTATATGAAAGTGTGAACTTAATTTGGAGATGAGGAAAGTGAGAACTTAATTGGGGAATGGGTGTAGCATTTAAAAAAAACAAATCACTACGAGCTCTTTCTTACACTAGATATGTCTCCTTGGCCTTTCATATACAGTTTCACGAAAGAAAGTCAAATCTCTTTCTTTTTTTGATGATTAGAAAATGCTATTCTAATGCCAATTGCATATCCAATCCCATTCCTTCCCTCCTCCAGATAACAATTGAATGTTATAACATTATACTATATTCTAAAATCATATTCACCACAACAGTTTGGCAAGCCAATCTATTTTGGCTAATAATAGAATATTACAATTTCTTCAGGTGACTTTGGACCCAAATATCAATGTCTGGTTCAAATCCCAAACTCGAACTGGGTACCAGTGTAATCATTTGATTCATTTCCGCCACGGAAGTCACTATTCTGTACTGAATTTCAAACCCAAACATCATCTCATATGAATCAAACGCATCACCAAAACTACGAATTTCCAGATTCTACTTCCACAACGAGCTTGCAACCAATCCTAAGTCCTCACTCAAAGTCGTGCAAATGCATAAGTGTGAAAGGGAGCGACATCTGTGTAATATAACTCTGAAAATGACTCACCTTGGGAGAAATTGAGGTGAAGCAGTGGAGTATATGGGAGTGCAGATCTGAAATGCCGCTGCCAATTTGGCCAATGCGCAGAGAAGTTTTGATCTGAGCTGATGAACAAATATTACTCCCTAAAAATGCGATTTCTTATGGAATCAAGAATTATCCAGCTGATTGGGCGTAGCCATTTCTGGGAATTTTGGGAGAGAGTCGGGATGGTTTCTCTTGGCTTCACCGTCGTGCCGTCATGGTATATCCGGAGCAACTTAATTAATTACTTTTAAGAGGGTAAATATTAATTTCATTTAATTAATGATTAAAATTTGTTAATTTTGATTATAAAAAATTAAAAATAGACATATCCATACTTTATTTAAAAAGACATGGAGTCAATATTGCGTTTTCCCACCCAAAAAGTATGACCGTTACATATGGTAATGTGAAGTTAAAATGGTAAGTGTCCGAAAGTATAGTAATATAAAATTTATGTTTTATAAGTATAATTATTATATTATATTAATTGTCATTATTAAAGTGTACGAAATTTATACTAGCAATAAAGGTAAGTTATAAAAAATATTTATACAATAGGAAAAAATTATTTATAAAAAATATTTATAAACTTTAATACACGCCAATCAATGCTATTAAAACGTATGTATGATTATTCTTACTATAATTATATAATTAAATGATTATCGTGTGACTAGGTTATAAAAAAATGTACGTATAATTGTAGTATAATATAATTATGGTAATAATAATTATACACACAGTATCGAAAAAAATTAATACAGAAAACCCTTTAAATATATATATTTATATTTAGGTTTAATAGCAATAAAGGTAATAACAAAAAAATGTTATAATTATTATTTCGTGCAATTATTACTTATATAAATGGTAAGTGTCCGAAATTATAGTGTCCATTTTTAACCCGTGCTCAAAGTATGGCCATTACATATGGTAATTGTAAAATTAAATGGTAAGTGTCCAAAATTATAGTAATATAAAATTATAATTGTGAAGTTAATATAATTATTATTTTTATAATCACGGTAAAAAATTAATATTTTTATAAGTTTCTGAAATTATGATATTAAGCACACTATTAATGAGATATAATTAATTACCGTGTCAAATTAATTATAGTAATTAAATGTTAGTTACCGTGTCAAATTAATTATAGTAATTTTAATTATAGTAATTTTAATTAAAATTGTATATTACGCTATTAGTGAAATCTAATATTACGTGTGACTACATAATTGTATATTAGTTACCGTGTCAAATTAATTATAGTAATTTTAATTATAGTAATTTTATAATAGTAATTTTATAATGTCTATATTTTAATTATAGTGGCTATATTTTATAATGGCTATATTTTACTATATTTTAATTATAGTAATTTTAATCAAAAAAGGTAATAATTAACCAAGGTATTAATTATATAACCGTGTGACTAGATAATTGTATACTCCGTATTAATTACCGTGTCATTTTAATTATAGTAATTTTAATTATAATAATTTTAAATATAATAAATTAAATAATTAAAATACAGTAATAGTAATTTAAATTCGTTATATGACTTTGAAAAATGAATAATTGTTTTAACTCGTATGCAAAAATCGTATTATAAATACATCCATTTACAAAGCTTTCATAGCCATTACATTCATCGTGAATTGTTGACTCTTACGTTTCAAAACTGTCATTCGTACGAAAATGGGGATCTTAACTGCTTTGAAAAATGTTGGTGAGCGGTCATCAATGTTAATGGTGAAGCTATGAGCAATTAGGGTTTATTACAGGTTTCCGTAACAATAACCCAACATGATTTAGTCATGGACAACTTCGTGTTGCAGTTTCAAGAGTAACTAATCGTAGTGGGTTGAAGATTCTGATATGCAATGAAGATATTATTACCACAAATTATACAGATAATGTAGTCTATAAAGAAATCTTTCGGAATTTGTAAGCAGTGATGTTTTGTACCTTAAAATAATATGATATATATTCTATTGCATCTCATTTTTTATCATTGAAAAATGATTTTAATTTAATAACATAAAAATGACCCGTGCAACGCACGGGTGTGATACTAGTAGTCATGGAAAGAAGTAAAATTTTAGTAGAGTAAGATATTTTTAAATTGTTTTTACACTAAACTTTAATAATTACCAACGTGATTTTTTTTATAATTTAGATTTATTACTTAAATGGTAATCTGTCAAAATATTTATTGGATATCAGTCAAATACGGAGTATAATGTATTTGGATATTTTCTACTTCCTCCGTTCTCAAAAACACTTCCTCTTTCATTTTTTTCACTTCCAATAAAACATTTCTACTTTCTATTAAAAAACCACTTTTACCCTTACTTTTCCATACCCTACCTATCACATCATACTTTTTCTCTAATAATCTACCCATCACATCTTATTTTTACCCATAACATCAAGGGTAAAATTGAAAGTCAACTACAATTTAACACTTCCTTATTTTTCCACTTTTTTAAAGTAGGAACTCTTTTTGAGAACGGAGGGAGTATTATCTAGATGTAGGATGATCACTAAATACTCTTTTATAATTAAATATATTTCTAAACTATTAATTTCTAAATAAATATTTTTCTAAAATGTAGTCCATGAGACTACTTAGGGTTCGTTCATCTAGCACTCACCCATTTAATTTGAAAGGTCATATTAAGAGCTTAATTATAGTTTAAATGATAAAAAATACAAGAATATCTTTTATTTAATTGTCATTTAATAGACATTCTTTATAGAAAACTATTTAGAGAATATATTTCAAACAGAGGAATGCGTTAATAATTACGGTTTATTGCTTATTGAGAATTGACTTTAGAGAACACTTATTAGAAAGAATCATTTTGAAAATTTATTTTAAATAAATTTTTAAAATAGTCCTTTCGAATACAGTACTTTTCCAAATTAGTCTCTAATAAGCAAAAACTACATTCGTGATTTTTTAATTTAGATTTATTCTCTAAATGGTCATTTGTCAAAAATGTTTTTTAAATGTCAATCAAATAAAAGGTACTTAGATACTTTATATCATCTAGACTTAAAACAAGTTCTCAAAATACTATTTTAGAATTGAATATTTTTCTAAACTAATAATTTATAAGTAATTGTTTTTCCAAAATGGAGTCTATAAGTCTATTTCGGGTGGATCCGTTCATTTAACAAACATACATTATTTTACTTAAATTTGTTAAATCTACATCAATGTAAAAATTATGTTAATGAGTATAAATTTAGAAAATACTTCATCCGTCCTGAAATTAACTTCCCAATTTGATTTTCTTGATCAAACCTTTTAAACTTAGATCGCACATTATAGAAAAAAATATATTAAACTTTTTTATAAATTAAATATCAATAGATGCATTTTGAAACATTTTCTTTATAATATATTCTTAAACATACATAAATTATTAATGATCAAAGTACTAATAACAACAACAACAATAAAAATACTAATAACAACAACAACAACATCAAAAAAGTGAAAAAAGTGTGAGTAAGACAAGGGGAGTAATAAAAGTCAAATGAAAAATTGATTTTAAGAGAGGATCGTAAAAAGTGCGAGTAAAGTAATTTTTAGTGTGGAGTTAGCAATACCCTTAAAAACAATAATAACAACAACAGCAAAAATACATGATCCCTCCGTTTCTGAATTATTTACTCTTTACGCAAAACGAAGTAAAATTTTAAGTTTTTTCAATTCATTTTATTTAAAAATTTGTATATAAATAAAAAATAAAACTTACATATTTAAAATTTAGTCCCTCCGTCCCTAAATATATCTACATTTCTATTACCGAGATAAAATATCAAGTTTTTTCAATTCATTTTATTTACATATTGGTATAGAAATAAAAAAATAAAATTTATATACCCCGTATCAAAAAACTAAATGAAAAATTCTTCGAAATAAGAGGTGTCAAAAATATTTCATTTTATCAAATAACCAATGAAAACGTAGAAATAAATAAAAGTTTCCGCGACTGCTGAAAAAACAAATGTGAGATATATTTAGAAACGTGGGGAGTACATCAAAAGTTCTACAAAATAATTAATGAAAACATACAAATAGACAAATATTCTCGTAATTTTTGAATAGTAAGTGTGTAAATGGACGGAGGGAGTAATACATACTTGGTAGTACTTTATCTATCTTAGTAGTACTTTATCTATCTTAAAATAAATTATGCAAATATTATTTAAAAAGTGAAATTATAATTTTTTATTATCTTATTTGTTAAAATAATTTAATACTCGGGGGTAATATTTAGTATTATACGGAGTAATTCTGAACAATTCTACTACGCATATAATACAATGTTTCATTAATAAATAATTGAATTAAATTGCACCAAGGTTCCCATGACATTGCCCGATAATGTCATGGGATGACCCTGAGACGTTTCAGTGTCCCGTTCGTAAAATTGACGGTTCTTACCCCCTAATCTCCCGGTAAACCCCCACCCCGCCCCAACCCGAACACACCCCCACCCTCTCCAATTGCATCCCACAAGTTGATTTTGACTTTGAAGTCAATTTTTGACTCCAAAGTCAAAATAAACTTGTGGGGTGCAATTAGAGGGGGTGGGGGATGTGTTCGGGTCGGGGCGGGAGTGGGAGAGTTTAGGATTAGGAAGATATGAAACGTCAATTTTATGAACGGGGCACCGGAACGCAAATCAAATTTTTTTAATTAAGTTAAATAGGGTTTATAATATTCGCTTGGAAAGAAATCTTTGATCAAATCTCCCGCAGACCCGACCTACAATGGCGAATCAGTGAAAAGCAGACCCTGAAAGAAGGCCCCAAGCTGTATCCGAAATCTTCATCTCCAATGGCTCGAAGATCGTTCCCATTCCTCAAACAAATCCTCCAGAAATCAGCCGAAAATCCCCGCCCTTTCTTATGCCGATCCGTGACCTACATGCCTCGACCAGGTGACGGCACGCCGAGGGCCGTAACCCTGATTCCCGGCGATGGCGTCGGGCCACTGGTGACCAACGCCGTTGAGCAGGTGATGGATGCGATGCACGCTCCGGTCTACTTCGAGCGCTACGAAGTCCACGGAGATATGAAGACCGTGCCCCCTGAGGTGATCAAGTCGATCCAGAAGAACAAGGTGTGTCTCAAAGGTGGCCTTCATACGCCAGTGGGCGGAGGCGTGAGCTCTTTAAATGTACAGTTGAGGAAGGAGCTTGATTTGTTCGCTTCCTTGGTGAATTGCGTCAACCTTCCTGGTCTGCCAACTCGGCATGACAACGTTGATATAGTGGTGATTAGGGAGAACACCGAAGGAGAGTACTCTGGACTCGAGCATGAGGTAGTTCCTGGTGTGGTCGAAAGCCTCAAAGTAATGATCTCATTTCATCTGCTTAAATTATGATGCTAATATATGAAATTACCATTTGCATAGTTTGTTCTCGTTCATGTGCTTGCGTTATTGATTTAATTAAGTTTATGTATAAGAATTTTGATGTTTCGCTCAACTCTCAATGTCTTTTGTTGCCGATCTACTTTTAAAATGTGCACAATCTGAAAATGTATGTATAGGTTAACGATGATTGATTGATTTTATGTGTTGAGCTCATCTATCATGCTTCAGAGTTTGTTAAGAGTGCCATAAACTGATAGCACACAACCCATTTGAGTTTATAACCTTTAATCCATGGGTTAAGATTAAATTAAGTATTGTAGACTCACTGCAAAAATATCAATGTATTGTCATATGTAAACATCAACTGTTTGTATCTACTATCATCTGTAGGAAGAAACAAGCAACCATCACAAACTTGTTGGTGCAAATGTGCGATGTTTTTTTTAATCTATGATTTCCCGTTTAGGTTAAATATCTCATGCAGCCAATTTTTTGTAAACAGAGTATTTCCCCTGTTGTTGGATGAAATCAATTTTGAACATTATTTACCCTATTTTTTTGCCCAGGTGATAACGAAGTTCTGTTCAGAGCGCATTGCCAAGTATGCATTTGAGTATGCTTATCTAAACAACAGAAAGAAGGTGACAGCCGTGCACAAAGCCAACATCATGAAGCTGGCTGATGGTCTGTTTTTGGAATCATGTAGAGAAATTGCCAAGAAGTATCCTGGAATTCATTATAATGAAATTATTGTGGACAACTCCTGTATGCAGCTTGTCTCAAAGCCAGAACAATTTGATGTTATGGTAAGTGGAAAATCCTTCATTCATGATAATGCTCATCTGCTCCCCTATTATATTGGATTGGACTATTGGAGCATGATTGCTCTTTCAGTAGATAATTAATACTGCAACCGTGCTTCATCTTGTCATAAATATTCTCTTTATGGTGACATCTTTTCTTCACTTAAGTTTTTTGAATTTTCTCCATGTTTGGTATGAAATATGGATTAATTTGCATGCTTAATATGGTTGTCTGGTGTGCTATTGCTCTACTATCATTTAACATGCATGGTGTTGGTACTCCTCTATGTTATTGCAGTTTATATATCTTGCAAACAGTAGATGCAACATGCAATGGTTATCCTGATAAACTACAATACTGCATGTCTGCTTAATAAATCAAAACACTCTTTGGAATCCAAAAAACTAACACACTTTGTTTGAGCCTTTCTAGCCGCTTCTTGTGTCTCCACTCTCTTTAAACATAAAGAGCTGTTTTCATTTTCCGATTCAATAGAGTCATCCTGTCTTGGCATGAAGTTTGATACTAACTCTGTACTAAATTGGTATGTGAGCAAAGGGTCTACCATCACCAAGAGGCTTCATTTCTCTCTCTCTCTCTCTCTTGATGAAATGAAAGCCCCGTATGGAATGATTGATTGAAAGAAGAAAAAACAGTTGACTAGCTTGAATATGAAAAGGAATCTTGAGGTAGAAGAAATCGATGGAGACATGAGTCCTTTGAGACTCGAGCTATGAAATCACAAAAACCCATGAGGATGAAGAAGATAAAGACATGTGGCTTCTGAAAGCTGCATGAAGTACATCCCCGATGCAAGATACAGTGGAATTATGGCGAGTTTCACTTCAGGGGTGTGTTCAAATAGAGGGGCTTTGTCCCACATTGAAGAACTAAACAAGGAAAAAAAGGGCGCTTATAATTGTGTCTGTTCAACCCAACACTTCCACTTTTTTTATTGGTCCTATTGATCCCATTTGCCAACAGTTATGTCTGCTCTGGCCTCATGCAGTCATGCTTTCTTCAGTGGACTGCTGGAATATCAAATATCAACACATATGTGATATGAATCACAATATGTTTTGGTTGTTTCCTATCCCATGCATTTTGAATTGCATGACGTGTACTATTAAACTGGTATATGAATTGGACGTTTGAAAAAATGCATGTATGAAATGGATAAAATAGGATTTTGAGATATGAGTATATATATTGATGTCTATGCATTTATGCAGGTAATGTGTTAAACAATTTATTAAGACTTCGCTTGGTTACATTGTTATTCACAACCCTCTATTTCTTTTTTGTGCGGGAAGGTTTTCAACTTATATGGCCTGCTCTTTGTAGGTCACTCCCAATCTTTATGGAAATCTGGTTGCAAATACAGCTGCTGGTATAGCTGGTGGCACAGGAGTTATGCCTGGAGGTTAGGTTCATTTTAATCTTCAAATTGAATGCCCTTGCACATAAGTATAAATTGAGCATTTGTTGCTTTGTGATGACAACTCATTAAAGAAAAATGATAGTGATAGACGATACAATTATGATTTACATTTGGCCTGGTTTTAAGTCCATATTTGGCCTAATACTTGAAACATCTGTAAATCATTTGCCAAGATTGTTTTCTTGTGATTAGTACCCATTAAAAATTCCATTAAGAAGCAATCTTCTAGTATTTGCATTTTTTATGCATTATATTGGATCACACTATTCGATAACACTTAATGGCTTTATAAATAAACTGGTTTTGGACCTATATATGTACTTTGCACATGTACTTCATTTATTAAAAGGAATTCATGATTTGGTCAATGTATAACTTTTATACTCCGTATTTATCATGTTCATAACCTTTTTTTTTTTGGAATGAAATGAAAAATTAGCTCTTGAGAAGGATTGTGGAGGAAATAAAACTTTTTGCTTTGGGGGGGGGATGCGTTTGGGACCTTTTTTAGTAGTTAATGTTCCTTCACATGCAAACAAAAAAGAGTACCTGGATAGGATTACATTTTTTTTCCTTTCCCAAATGTTGTTTTGGAAAATGTTTGCTTGAAAATGCTTTAAGTTGTATTACTAACTCAAACTCCTCAGAGCTAAGCTGCGATCTACCAGACACTACATTGCTCTTAGAGATGCATGGAAAAAAAACCTGACTCTTTTTTGTCCTACAGGTAATGTTGGGGCCGATACTGCTGTATTTGAGCAAGGAGCTTCAGCTGGGAATGTAGGAAACCAGAACCAAGTTGAGGAGAAAAGGGCAAACCCAGTGGCAGTTCTCCTCTCGTCGGCTATGATGCTGAGACATCTCCAGTTTCCGTCATTTGCTGATCGCTTGGAGACTGCGGTGAAGCACGTGATAGCCGAAGGCAAGTACAGGACAAAGGACTTGGGAGGAGACAGTACAACCCAAGAAGTGGTGGATGCTGTTATAGCTGCTCTTGACTAAGAACCATATTTCATTGCTTGAGATCAAATTCAGATTCTTCTGCCCAATCTTTCCTGCTCAATAAATTTCAATTGACTTTGTTTTGATTGCCCAATGTTTTGTTTTTGGTTTGGTTTTTAAGGCAAACTGCAACCATCCCAAGAGTTACGAATGCTGTCTTATCGGCGTTCCAGTTTTTTGCATTCTAATTCATTTTTTATGTACTCCATCAAAGACAGAGTATACGATAAAGGAGGATGTTATTCATTGGCCTGGCTATTATTCATCGATGATATCGTTGTCTGCAAATGTTGTTGGCTATATTATTCAGTGAGTTGTGCTATTCTGCAAAAGTTGTTGACAAAGCACACCTTATTATTTGAAACTCTCTTTGAGAGTTTGAGGCATCATTTTTTCACCTAAATTTTAAATTTTCTGTGTCCTAAGCAAAGCTAGAGAGGGTACACATTTAGGGCACCTCAAAAGGGCCCGTCCTAAGGTCTTTATTACTTGGTTCCAATGGTTCCCAGAGCAAAAGGTCCTTACGACAAGAGAAACTATGTGCCTTAAAAGGGCTAGAAAGGATTCAAAATGTAAGTCATCCCAAAGTAGGGGGTGGCCACAGTACTGATCCAGTCCGGTTTCCAAATCGCCGCAATTCCGATTCTTATTTGGACTTGTACCAGTGGGTGGGAGTGAGTCCGGGACAGTCCCAGTTTCGGCTGGTTGAGGTTTTGGTTTCCGAAGGGTTCATTTTTTTTTTTTTGGAAATGATGTTATATACTTGTATTTTACTCTATTTTTTTTGTTTTTGTTTTGAGGTATTGTGAATTCGCCTAAACAAAAGTGCTACCGAGCACCACACGAAAGCTCATTTTTTACTTTACCAATTCTTATTCAAGAAAACAAAATCTTCAAATGCAAATTACAAGTACCAATTGAACACATTCAAGAAATCCTTAACCATTTTCAACATATATATTTTCCCCAAATTTGCATCAAAGTACTAAACTAGAGTTTCGTGTTCAAGACTGAATCACTTACACATGAAAACAAACATTGAAGAGCAGAGAGACAACGTTGGAGGCTTCTGTTTGTGCCCTCATGTCCAATTTATTTAAGAAAAATCCCACAAAAAGTAGAGTCCGGGACAAACACCCGCGATCCACGTCCCTCATTTCCCGGCTTGAACCACGGGATTTTGAGTGAGGTTGAGCCTAAGGATGAAGTTGGAAGTTACAAAACCAAAGTAGAGATGATCCCGGATCTTGATTCCGGTTGACACGAGCATGGAATGGCGGTCGTGGTAATGGGCCACCGGGTTTCCCTCCAAATCCACCGCGAAAGCCCCTCCGTTCTTCTCCATTTCCGGTCGCACTCCGTACTTCACCATCACTCCCAAAACCTTCCTCACCAAGGGATGCTTCTGCGCAAGCTTCCACCCCAAGGTGTAGTCCTTTGAAAATCAAAACCATTCAACTCGGATCGTAAGACGCTCTGGTCAAATTAAATCACACTAAAGCATTTAAATGTAATCGATTCGTTACTTCAATCCAAGATCCTATCAGTAAAGACGTCAAACTCCAAAACACATCAAACAAATACGGTACGAGTATATATATTATAGTCATACGCTGACGAACGCAATCCAGAAGAGCCCTTCTCCATCGTATCGAATGTTGTCTGGCATTCCTGGCAAATTCTCTATAAAGACATCAATGTCCCCCTTCATTTCACCCTTTATGAACAACCTCTTACACCTCCTCCTACAACCCAGCATAATTGAGAACACATAATTAGCTGGAAAATTTACCTAAACAGTACTAAAAATAGTGACTTTTTCAATGTAGTATCATATCTTTTTATTTCTCAATATAGTACCACTAGTCATTGACTCATTGTTTAAGTAAATGTCTACCGCCATTGGACATTGTTCAAACCAAATGTCCACCATCACTGGACAATGTTCTAGTCACTAGACATTATTCAAGTACTATTTAGAGAATAAAAAAGTTTAAGCACTACATTAGGAAAAGACATACTCGTTTTAGTACTATTTAGTGTAACTTTCACTAATTAGTTCCCCTATTAACCTTTGTTTACGATCTGTTGTCATATGAATTTTAGATCCTTGGTAACAATGCATGAAATTTAGCGGTAAACTTACATTGGGGTTTCGCAGAAAACGACAAAGTTGCCGTCCGGAGAGACAAAAACGCCATTTGCAAAGAACAAGTCTTTGACAAGCACTTTGGTCTGTTTGGTATTTGGGTCGTAACTTAGCAACCTTCCGTAGGGCCTCCCTTCAAGAAAGTCCCAAATGAAGTCGTTCAGACTGTATTTCCAAGACGCGTCCGTGAAATAGAGGACACCGTCCTCTGCAACTGCAACCGCGTCCGTCAACTTGAACTTCACCCCCTCCGCCTCATCCGCCAGCAACTCCACCCGGCCATCCGCCGTCACATTCAATAATCCCTGTAAAGAAGCATCTCATTGATTGAATGTATACATATACACAAATGGGGAAAACGCATCTTTGATCCCTATAGTCTTGCCCAAATTAGTGAACAAATTATATTGTACATCTGGTCATACAAACTTTTTTTTTGTAATTATTGTGTAATATGAAAATGCGCATTCATTAATTTTGTAATGTGAGTATGTGCAAAAGAAAATATATTTGCTTTTTTGACAATTTTATTGTTTTCATAGGGTTGTAATGTTAGCAACAAAGTGAAAAAGTTCTTTTAGCAACAAAATGAAGATTATGCAATACATAAGTTTAAATTTTTCTTGATACTATTTTTTGATATAGGAGTTCAAATTAATGCAATTGCAAATTTCTTTTAGTAACTCAATCACAAAATAAAAGACACAATTTGATTTATGACTTTTAACTGTTTTTTTTCAATTTATTCTAAAATTGGTATATAAATAAAACTATAACAAAATTTACAAAAATTAAATATCATGTGGTCAAATCATCGATGAATAAAAAACAGAAGATATAGTTTACATGCAAATTTATTTAAGAAATCTATCTAAATAAGATTAAAACATTGAAGTTATACAAAAAGTAAGAATTCTACATATGTATTTATGGATGTATACTCGCACGTTATAGTGCTTTCTTGACATTATATGATGACATTAATTGTTTTATAAGTCTTATTTTGATATTAAAACATAGAAAGTCTTATTCTAATATATCAAATATATTTTAGTCCTATTTAAGAATTTCTTTATTTTGAAACGAAAGGAATAATTAATTATATAATCTTAGATTATTCATGTAAAAACTCAAATATTTGGTGGAGTGATATCAATTTGTTGTAAATGAAAACATATGGGGGGCACTCACAATATCCGCATCAGCTACCAAAACTTCACCGTGAAGTCCAAGGGCGAGTCCAAGCGGCCTGCCGCCCGTGTTGACCCAGTCCTCCACCACCGAGTCCGCCGCCGAGGACTCGTTCACCGTCACTCGCTTGACCCACCCATCCGCACACCCGGTGTATATGATCCCCGTCTTGGGGTCGTAGGCTATGTCCTCCGGGCCCCACAACCGTCCCACTCCTATCCTCTCTGAGCCATGCAGCATCCGGGCGTTGAGGCTTGGGGCCGCCGCCGCCGGCGGCTTCTTCTGACTCGGCTGCTCAGCCGGGTACGGTGCTGGGTCGAACGAGTCGAGTTGGAAAACGATGAGGCCTAGAATTACCGGCACGAGAAAAGCGGCAAACGGCCATAGATGATTCATATGGGCAGGAAGATCTTTTATTTCTTAGCTTCTATATGAGTATATTTGTATAAAGAAAACTTTGAAGTGATCCATCATTAATTTACTCCATTCCTTCCATATTTGTATTTGAATTTTCACGATTTTCGGTACAACACTTTGATCATTAATATTCATATTTGTATATAATCATGAATTATAAAAAATATAATATTTCAAAACAACGTGTCAAAACAAATATATTGATATTAAATTGAATTTATTTTACAACCCAATATATTTTTACTACAATTCATATGGTCAAATTAAAAAAGAGTTGTCTCCCAAAGTCAAAATGAGAAGAAGATACACTACGGGGAGAGTATGTGTTTATTAATTATTTGATAAAAAAACTTTGTCACCTTTTATTTTGTAAAAATTTTTGATGTTGTTTATAGATATGTAAGTTTTATTTTTTATTTCTATACAAATCTTAAACTAAAATGAATTTAAAAAACTTAAAACTTTATTTGTTTTTAAAACAGAAGAAAATAGTAAAAATAAATTAATCCTTAGCAAATAAAAACTATAGAAAATAAAATTGATGGGGATCTATTTAATACACAGCCTCCCCAATTCAATGCGCACACCGTACTATTACAATTTGCAAATGATGTCGAGCCGAGACAATGAATTAGAGCATAGGCAATTAGGCACTACTCCGTAGTAAACTCCATCCCTCTCAAAAATATGTACATTTTATTTATTTATTTATAAAAATAATTATTTTTGTCACTAGCCTTTTAAAATTTTAACGTAATTTTGGTAGTATGTAAACTTTACTCCACCCGTCCCAATTTATATTATCTGTTTTAATTTACAATATTTAACTAAGTTATTTTCAATTCGTTTTATATGAAAATTGATGTGAGATTTAAAAAATAAAATTAATATATTAAAAGACATTATCCAAATTTCTATAAAACAAGAGGTAACCTTATTATATTATTTTATCAAACGAGTACCAAAATAGATAATGAAAACAGTTAAAATTTGACCATATGGATAGTAAAACATACAACTTAAATTGAGACAAAAGAGTATTTTCTTATTTCTATGTCAATCTTTAAATAAAATAAATTAAAAAATTTGAAACTTCGCTTCGTATTGCGTAAAGTGCTAAACATTTCGAGACAGAGGAGTATATCAATGATATAATATCATATCGGAATAAAAAAACTTCAAACATCTTCAAACATCAAGAAGAAAAAAAAAGAGAAAGAATATATCGAATGGTTCTGGTCTCCCAAGAAAAAAGAAAGCAGAATAATTCTTCTTACTATTCTAACTAAATAGTTGCAACCCTATTTATAAGAGAGATGAAAAGTGTAGGTTTAAAAAAAACATCAAGGTAATGATTAAGAAAGAAACATAAGAAATCACCCCAAATAAAAGGAAAACATAACTTTTATTATTAAAATAGGAGTTCCATATTTTTATCACCAAAAAAAGAATTTAACACTATGACATTATGACAATATATAGTGACATTCTTTAGTATTTGTTGGTATTATATTTTGATATTATACTCCAATTTGAGATAAAAAATATAGAACTCATATTGAGAATATTCTTGTCTTAATTGCTTACAATTCTAAATGGTTACATCTTTATCTATAAGAGAGAAAAGACCCCAAACCTCTTAGTCATGTTGGTACAATAAAGGTATCAACATAAAGAATAAAAAACTCAAAAAAGCTTATAATTCTGCTCACTTTTTTTAAAAGAATTTTGCTCACCTATAAAACTAAATTAAAATAAATAATAATGACTTTTTTTGTCATTCACCCTAAATTTTAAAAATTACACAAATATCCCTTAAACTTTTAGAAATGTTGCAACAATGATTCTTCTATGTCAGATTTTGGAGTGCACTAATTAAAGACTCATCAATATACTTGTTGAGGCTTGATAAATTGATGCGAGGTTGATCAATTGATGACGAGCTTTATCGACTGATGTCTGGCCTTCAAATTCGATTATCAACGACTAAATAGAAAATAATTATCTAAGATTTAAAGAGGTTAAAAATATAAAAAATAATGTTTTGGAATGACATATTGCAGAACTCACGTGTGATGTACTCCCTCCATCCACAATCACAAGAATTTTTATTTATTTGTGCGTTTTCATTGATTATATGATGAAATAAAATGTTATTGTCACTTATTATTTTGTAAAACTTTTATACTTTTTAAATATGCAAGTTTAATTTATTTATATACCATTCTTTAAATAAAATGAATTGAAAAAAAAATAGAATTTTATTTTGTTTTATGCAAAGTTAAATCATTTAGGGGCGTAGGGAGTATGACTTTAGATGAATTTATACTTGCATTGGATGAGCATGTAATTAACGCACTTTCAAATCTAGCGCAGCGGGACCATTGGTACAACATTTTTAAAAGTTTAGGGAGCAGTGCAATTTTTAAAGTTCAGGGGAACCCTTGCAATTTTTGAAAAGTCCTAGAGTAAATAGCACAAAAAAAATCAAATAATAAATACTCCCTAATATATACACCCTCCGTCCCAGTATATTTTCGTCCAGTTTGACTTTTTTGAGTCAAACTGGATTGTCTTTAATCATCAATTACTCTAAATTTGGGTAGCATATCAATACAATAAACTAAAATTTTATAAGTTCTCAACAAGATAAATCTATTGAAATTACTTTTATACAAAAATACATTATCATTTTTATTTTATTGAGATCCAAAGTTCGTCTAGTTTGACTAGAAAAAGTCAAGGTGAACGATGACACTAGGAGAGAGGTAGTATTAACTAATAAATACTACCTCTGTCCCGGAGTATTTGCCCAATTTTGACTTTTTTTAGTCAACCATTTTCAATCTTTGATCTATAATTAAATAAAATATATGTTATATATTAATTAAATAAAATAATAATTTGAAAATATTTAATATAATAAATCTAACAAAACATTTTTTGTATCAATATCTAATATCATTTTTGTTTAATTTGGTATCAAAGTTTACCAATTTTGACCGAAAAAGTCAAAAGTTGACAGATACTTCGGGATGGAGGGAGGACATATTAAGTAATAAATAATTAATTAAATAACCTAACCCGTCATCCGTAACAATCAAATTACATTTTTATATACTCTCTCCGTCTTTAAGTGTTTGTCTATTTTGAAATTGGCACACATACCTGCATGGAAGAGGGAAAAGGAGAAGACAATAAAGTAAGAAGATTAGAGTTCTGCTTAAGTAAACTGCAGTTAGCCACTGTAGGAATAGAGCAAGAGGTACCCTAGTTACCAAACCTGTACTGTCTGTGACCAAGGAAGTGTATAGGTCATTCTTGATAAACAAAAGTACCCCAGCAATCAAGAACAAATAGCCTACTCATTAGAGCAAGAGGTACCCTAGTTACCAAACCAGTACTCTCTGCGAGTCTGTGACCAAGGAAGTGTATAGGTCATTCTTGATTAACAAAATTACCCCAGCAATCAAGGACAAATACCCTACTTATTTGAGCAATAGGGTCATCATTTCACAAGACAATGCTAGACCATAAATTGCATGTAATGATCCTCAAGTATTCAAAGCAGCCAAGTTAGATGATTTTAACATATCACTAACACGTCAACCACCTAACAGTCCAGATCTTAATGTATTGGACCTGGGTTACTTTAGATCAACACAGTCATTACAAAAAAAAAGGGTGCAAGACAATTGATGAGTTTGTTGATATTGTGGCAGTCTAACAATCAGCTTCAGAGAATGGAGTGACAAACACAATCATAGACTGTGGAGGAAAACATATGGACCTAAAAACTGGGGGTTACACAACTTCATCACACCACACACAACAAGCCAGCTTCATAACAGATCACAAACACAAAAATACAGGCCGAAAAAAAATCAATCAGCATAGGAAAAAAAAAGACCACAAACACAGATTGATTATAGACCACAATCATGGATAGAACTTTACACACACGGACTAATCACTCGGGAATCAGGATCATCATAGGATAGAAACACAAAAAGAGGTTCATCATAAACCACAATCATATAACATCAAGCATAACCAGTCAGGATAGTCATATGATACAAACACAAATAGAGGTTCATCATAGACCACAACCACATAGGAAACATAGTAGGCTTACAGAAAAAGAAAAGAGGCTATTTCCCTAGACGAAAAAGCATGGAAGGTAGATGACAATCATTGCCTTCGTAACCGGGTTGTGAAACCATTCCAATAACTCCCCCAGTTTGGGGTCATATCGAAGAGCAGCTGCATGCCTAAAACGGTTCTCACGCCCCTTTGCATGCTGTCTTAGAGCTTGAAGGGGAAATTCAGCAGGCTCCACCCCTTCATTGTCCGAATCTAGGGACTCATGAGCATCACAATCTTCATCATTGTCCACATCTTCAGATCCAGATCTAAGGAGTCAAGAACTACCAAGTCTTCATCATTGACCCCTTCTTCATAGCCTGGAACAATCACCTCCTCATCATCGTACCCTTCTTCAGAGTCTGGAACAATCACCTCCTCATCATCGTCCAAATCTTTAGCATCCTCAAGCACTTCTCCATCTTAAGGATGTTCTTCGAAGGCAGGGACTACAATTTACCCATCCCTCACAATGCAAGGCGACTCATCACCATTGAAAACGGTCGCACCATCCATGGAAAAGGTTGTCTTCTCTTCAAACTGAGTGAGGCAATTTCATAAACGAGTACATATCAAATCTAGGGTTTTTTTTTGTAGAGAAGATGATCTGTGAGGAAGAATGAGAACGAGATGAAGATAATTATGCAGTAAAAGAGGAGACAGTGAGTAGTAAATGGACGATCGACTGTGTAGATGGTAGAAGAGAAGTGAAATGGGTGGGAGTAGAGTAAAGAAGATTGGTGAATGTGAGTAAATGATGAAGGGTAAATTTGGAAACGTGTTATATATTTTTAGTACTAAACAAGTTAAGTGGGCGAATATTGGGGGTGGTCCAAAAGGAAAACTGGACAGATACTCCTACTAGTTTTATTTATATGGAGTATCATTTCTAACAATATGTGCGCGCCTCATATGCAGAACTGTTTAATAAAGCTTGGACATATAGCCATGTCATTTATATTGGGTATAAAACAATGACCTCATATCGTACAAAATGGAACTGGAAGTGGACCCAATAGCATCCGTAGTGATGACTAAGGAACCCCTAGGGAAAGGGGAGAAGACTTGTATACACCTCTACAATCTAAAACACCGCTTAATATCTAAAGCTCACTTTATCTCTCGCGGTCTCAGGAAAAAATGTTTGTCTTATAGAGAACAAATCTTACTTTATTAATTTATCCCATGTGATGACTAACGAACCGTCAAGAACAAGAGGAGAAGACTTGTACACTTTTACAATATAAAGCATCACTAAATACAAAAGTTTAAGGCCGATTTCTGATCTTGCAGAAGATCTATGATGAAGAGAGAAATGTTGATTGGCCAAGAGGACATTGTGATGACAAGACGGAAGACATGGTTATGACGAATATGATGATTGTGATGATCATGCAGAAGCAAGAGTTGTTGCCATTAGTCATGTGAAGTTATTAATGAAAAATATATGGAAGGATTTAGTAGATTCATTCTCTTTCTATCATACCATCACACTGTACCATCAACTGATGTGTATTATAAGGATCATGTACCTCTCCATCCCAACAACTAATAGTCAAATCACCCGAACCAAGCTCCATCAAAAATTAGCTAGAGATTGCTTGCATTTAAATGTTAATGACTAGTTGATTTATTCAATTATTGTATATTCCAATATGATATCTCTTATTACGGCATACTACGACCATCAATACATATAATTGGACATTGAAGATATTGATGCACTATCATGGTACTACTACAGACATATCGGGAGGCAAAGACCCATTTTGATAACATTCGCTACAAGTGAGAACTATTGAACTTTCAGTTTGTTGTTACTATCAATACTATCATCTTTATATATCTTTGAATATCATTAATTGGGATTACATTTTTCTATGTTGGTTACAAGAACCAGAAAATAGGTGTAAGGAACTGGAGGATCCACAGTGAGCTCAATAAAAAATGTGCAGAGGAGCTTAGCTAACGTGAGCTGACAACAAGATGAAAAAAGAGCTTCAACGCTAGAAAATAGTCATATTTTTCCAATCTTGACTTACGTAAAACCTAGCTACTGATTTTTTGACTTGTAGCTCCTCTTCTTCATTCTACAGGGAAAAAGAATCAGCACCTAAATTGTTACAAAAGTCTAGATTGGCGAATATGACTAACTTTTTAGCATTCAAGCTCTTCCTTGAGCTTGTTGTTAGCGTACATGAGCTGAGGGCCTATACATTTTTTTGTTTCAGCTCACTGTGGATTAACATAGAAAATTAACATATCTCTCTTTAGGTTCTTGTAATTAACATAGAAAAAATGTAATCTCATATAATGATATACAAAGACAAAAAAATGATAGTATTGATAATAGAAACAAACCAAATAGTTCAATAGTCTTCACCCGTGGTGAATGTTATCATAATGAGCATTTACCTTATGATATGTTTGAAGTACACCATGATGGGTGCATCAACATCCTCAATATCTAACCATATATGTTGATGGTTGGAGTATGTAGAAGTAGAGATACCATCGAGAAATATTCAATTATAGAACCAATCAACCAATCATTAACAATTAAAACCGACCAATCTCTAGCTAATTTTTTATGCAACTTGGCTTGAGTGATTGGATCATTAAGTGTTGGGAAGGAGAGGAATATAATCCTTATAAACATCAATGTGATGGCATGATAAAACACCTACGATCATACTAAATCCTTCCATGCATGTTTGATCATTAACTTCACACAACTAATGGGAGCAGCTATTGCTGCAGCATTAACATAATCATCACGACAACCATTATCAATGTAAGATCACTATGTCCCCCTCCTGCCATCACCACATTCCCCCTCATGCCCATCATTATGTGCCTCGTCGTCATTGTTCTCTTGCACGATGAAAAATCAGCCTTATACTTATGAATTGAACAATGCTTTAGCTCATAAAGGTGTAAACAAGTCTTCTCTATCCCTTGGGAACTCCTTAGTCATTAATAGGGATAAACTAATAAAGATTTGTTCAATATAAGACTGAAACATAATTCATTTCTCTCAATAAAACTTGGTATATTTTATTCTAAAAATAATACCTAATTATTAAATAATTATTTATTTATATTTTATAGTGTCTATTTACTATTTTGCCCTTGTATACTAGTTATATCATAACTTAATTATCATATGAACCATCCAAACCCTAAACATTCAAACTCACCTTGTCTAGTCTCTTCTCTTATTCTACATCTTACTTCTGCCATGACTTCCTTCTTAAAGGGAAGCAAAAAAGATGGTCTAACACAAGCTGATTTGATTTAGTCTTTGCAAATATAATGGTTTATAGCCCATAGTTTACATAGAGAAAGTGGTCAATTGCAAATGCTCACAAAAGTACTTCGATCCTCCTCGCTTCTGTTTTTTGGCTATTGGGCCCTAATGCAAGGACTATTGCACATTGAACATAGTGGACGATATCCATCCAGAGTGTCTTGACCAATGTTTAAAAAAGCATGGAAAATCCCGTCTTGAGGCGCGCCTCATGGCAATTTCTGGAAAATTGCGCCCTGGTGCAATCTGAATTTAAAAATATATTTTTTCTGAAAAGGCTCAGATTTACAGCCTTGAGGCTTGCGCAACATTGCTTATGCCCCGAGCCGTTGAAATCCTACGCCTTGATATCCCCCCAAAAGATTATTTTAGGAATAAATTAGTAATTTAATTAAACAATAAAAGCCTATTTACACACTTACGCACTCACTTTGTCTTCCAATTCATCTATTAGCCTAATTGCGCACTAACTGCTCATCATAGCCACTGCTCAATCTTCCAATTTCCTTCAACGCCATCACTTGCCGTTTCCATTCAACTTTATTTTGTTTGACATCTTTTATTTGGAAAGATTCTATTTCGATGTTTATGGATTGATTATGTTCTATTTTAAATATGTAATATCCATATTTTTAAATTCAAGTTGAGGCTTACGCCTTGTCAAAAAAACACCTCAAAACTACAATACGCAATTTCAAACATTGGTCTTGATGAGAGATCATTAGACATTATATAGAAGAGTAGAAGACACTGCAGTAGACAATATTTGAGATAACTGAGGACATTGAGTTTGCAAGGATAACAATAGTAGAGGACAGTGAAGACTTGACAACTTAAACCTAAATAAACATGGGTAAATTTCATGAATGGCATACAAACTTTCAACATTATTTTATTTCGGTATATACTATATAAACTATAAATCATATCTCAAAAATACACCAATTTTCAAGATTCTTTCATTTTGGTCCATTAGCTCGTTTCGAGGTAACCAACCTCAGGCCAAATTGCAAATTATAAAATTTTAACCTTTTTATTTTAAGCACATTGTTTTCTTCCTTTCTTCTAGCCCCACACTCTTTCCTTCTCTTCTAGCTCACCCAAATGGGCATAAATAAAAAGGTTCAAATCGGAGAATTTGCAATTTAGCCCTGGTGACCTATAGGTTACCTAGAATTATTGGACCGAAAGGAAAAAATCTTGAAAGTTAGTATATTTTTATGCTATGCTTCAAAGTTTATTACCAAAATGAAAAAATGCTGAAAGTTCGTATACCATTCATGAAATTTACCCAAACCCCTCCCACTCCCTTCTTCTTCTTTTAAAATTATATAAAATTCTAATTTAGCCCAAATGACCGGAAGTTAACCTGGAAATGGGTAAATGAACCATTAGTGAAATGATTATGTAAGTTGTGGTATTTTTGTGAAAGGTTTTAAAGTTTAGGTACCGAATCAAAATTCCCGAGAAAGTTCAGGTACCATTGCTGAAATTTACCCAAATAAACATAAAAACTTATAAATAACTTTTAAACAAAACAAAAACTTATAATAATATCTTAGAGTTAAATAAACACATACTTAATATATAAAACAATATACGTGCGTGCATGCATGCATGCATGCATGCATGCATGCATGCATGCATGCATACATACATACATACATACATACATACATACATACATACATACATACATACATACATACATACATACATACATACATACATACATACATACATACATACATACATACATACATACATATATTATAAACACCATCTTATATTATAAACTTAGTATAAAAACTTAAAACACATAACATGAAAGGGGAGTTTGATAAAATAAAAACTTTATTTAAAATAATATGGGGAAAAAGCATTAGCTGAAAAAAGAACAAGCAAATTCAAATTCTAAGATAACCTATGAACACCACCAAACCCAAAACAAAACTAAAGCAAGATCAAACACTCCAAGCCAAAGTTTAAACATACTATAAGAACTTAGACCATATAATATCTACCTTACACACATTAGAATAGAAAAATTTATCAAAGATCGGGTCAATCCATTTCCTTAACCTAAACATAGAGGATTGTCAACTCTCCACAAGGCCCGGAGTCGTGCAATTCAAGAATTTTGTTATAAAATATATCAAGAACCACAACGCTTCCTATCGAGTTTGCAAATATATTTCTAAAAGAAGAAAAGATATATAAAAGAGCGGATGCAATATTTTATTCATCCTTCATACATATTATTTTATTCTGCTAACACATTATGTACTACTCCCTCCGTCCGGAAATGTTCTTCCCGTGTTGACTTGGCACGCTTATTAAGGAATAGTAAAAAGAATGCAAAATTTTCAAAAATGCACATACTATAAACTTTTAAATCTCCTTTTTATTATTAAAAAAGTATTAAAAAAGTAGATTTGTGATAAAATAGAAGGGTATTATTGATATTTAGCCTTAAAAAACATACTAAAAAAGGAAATGGGAAGATTATTTCCGGACGGACCAAAAAGGAAAATGGGAAGAATATTTCCGGACGGAGGGAGTAAAATAAACCTTAACTCCTAATGAAGACCATATTTTGTAGGTTTCCATGAAATCCTAATGAAACTTTTCTATCCACATAAAGAAGAAATATTTTCAAAAAAATCAAGATTTGTTTTATTGTTTAAAACAATCCCTTTTTTTTTAATAACAAACAAACACATACAAAAATTTAAACAAACAAGCAATATCAAATTTCAAGGCAATGGCCAAGTTATGAAGCTAAGAAGTTTGAAAACTTAAAATTTATTTAGAAACAATCATCACATCAATCAAGCAATATGAATTTGGAATTCATTTAACAGTCTTATGGAGTTAGCTTCATAAAAACCGAATTTGACAAAGACCTACTTACAAATTCTACCTTGAATTTTGTAATTCAACCACTCAACATGTATTCTTTTAGAAAAATTAGTAATGAAATTACTTTTCAATCATAAGAGCATTAATTATAAATATTCAAAGAAGAAGATACACCCAAAAATTGAACACCAACCATACTCTTTTGGAATTCTCAAAATCAATCAAACAAGCAAACAAAAGTTTAAAAAAAAATTGAACTAAAATCAAACAGTTACATAACAATGAGAATTTTTTTTAACTATCTGAATGAATGGCCTCCCAATTTTAATCGAGACAATTCTAGGGTTACCTTTAGAAGAGGAAGAACTAAAATTGAAGTAGAAGCTGCTAGTGTCGTCCCCTCCGTCGTCTTCTCGTCCCCTCCTTCGTCTTCTCGCAGCTTGCTACCAATTTATAGAAGATAAAGAGCTTCTTCCCGTTGGTTCCGTTTCAGAAAGAGGGGAAATGAGGCGTTGATGGCTAACGAAGCCCCCTCTTCGTCGGTACTTGAACTTCGCTGAGGAGGGTTTGGATTCTGTAGGGCTGGGAATCGGAATTGGGGCACCGATCTGGGCTTCGTTGCTACTGACCAAGGCCCTGTGTGGCATCAAATCAGTTGCGGTTTGGCGCTACCTTTAGCCTTTTACAAAAGCTATGTGACGTGTTAGCTTTTAGCGTTTACGTTTTCTGAATTAATCTATACCGTTAATATTTTATTCAAAACGTTAATGATAACTGAAAACGCTCTTCCCAAACAAGGTCCAAGACAGAAGCCAGAGATGGACTGATTTTGGTTATCCATTGCTGATTTGAAATGTAGGACAAATAAAAATGTAAAATTTGACGAAAAGATATAGATGCAGTTTTACACTATTTTTCTTGTAATAAGCAATTAAATTATAAAAATAAAAAAGATGGTATAATTTGATCATATAAATAATAAATAAATATGAAATTATTTAAAGGCAAAAATTATGAGTAGAACAAACTTAATGGTTATAGTTGTACAGTGGAATTATTGTGTATACTGCGTATAAAGATTATATAGCGTATAAAGATTATATAAATAATCCTCGTGTCCCAAAAAATGGTTTATACTTCGTAGTTTGATATTTTTGATCAAAATGTAACATACATTGAGAGTTGGAATATTCCTTTGTCACCTCCCTCTGTCCCAATTCGCTGCCCCCC